ACCCGACGGATAATTTAAGTTAATTGTTAAACTATTTCTAAGTTAGCAACAAATTATAGAATAAAAGAATTTATTTATTTTGAAAAAAAAAAGCCTTTTAATTGCTTTTAAGGAGGGGTAATGCAAAATTGGGGTTGCCGTAAAGTCGTTGAAATTTATGACGATGACTACATACATATGTACATATACATATGTATATGTGTGATGCAGAAACTATGTATGTTATACATTTGTATGTATGTAGATATGTATGTATGTAGATATGTATGTACATTACATAAAAATGTTTTCATATTTCTCGGGAAAACACCAAGCTTTTACAATATCCCCATACATATGTACATACATACATACAAATGTACATGGATTACAAAGCTAATTCAATTCCCGAAAATACGTTATATTTAGTAACGTCTAGAAACATCGACTTTTTGAAGCGTGCCAGCCGTTTGTTTTTTTCACTAACCTATAGTTCTATATAATATTGTTGAAAACTCACCAACTAAATTTCCTAACAGATGTCAGAATAAATATGTAAAAACAAAAAAACTTTGCATGGTGCAAATAGTAGATTTTTCTAGAAAAATATCCATACATAGTACATATGTATGTATGTACCATTCACAAATGTATGTATGTATATAGTCGGGTATAGATAATAAATTGATTTTTTAAATGAAATGCAGATATAATTTTTTATATCGTATTTAAACTACATATGTATAATTATTAATTTTTATAAAATATTATATAATGTAAGAAATACATACATACAATATATTATGTTGAAATACATACATATGTATGTGCATACATATGTATTTGTTTAAATTTTGTTTAGGAAATTATTAAATGCAAACATACATGCATATTTACATATACATATATATGGTAGATAAATATGAGGGAATTTTCAAAATTCATATTTGTGTTTTTTTTTTATATATGTACATATAAGATAAAAAAAATAAAAAATGGCTTGTAACCACGGATACACATTTGTTTGCTCCAAAAAACCGCGGGCTCTGTTTGAAAAATTGATAGCCTAGAATAGTTAGCAATGCCAACTGCGATTAATTTTTAATTTTACCGGCCGGCATGAAAATACAATTTATTCTGCGTTGCTTTGCTTACGAGATGTATAAAAAGTTGTGGAGAATTTTTATATTCCGAATTTTTCATCAGTAAATTTAGCGCTGTGCGAGTAACCCACTTAAATTTATTAAAAGAAGAAAAATTTGTTTTTGTCACCATTTCGATCAATCTATCGATAGTCCGTGCATCGACGCTGCGACGAAAACGTAGAGATAGTGAGCAGAAAAAAGACGCCGAAGCCAATTTTCAGTTTTCGGAGGGATTTAGTAGTGTACTTGCCGTTTGCAAAAAGTAATTAATGGTTCTGCCAAAATCTAGTGAAAACTTTTAATCAAATATAATATATGTATATTTTTTCTGTATTTATTTTCTATTTTCTCGCAGCGCAAATTTGCTGTTTGAGCATATAAATATACGAAGGCGAGTGCACAGAAGAACGAAGAACGTAGAGATAGTGAGCAGAAAAAAGACGCCGACGCCGATTTTCATTTTTCGGAGGGATTTATTAACGTGCCTGCCATTTGCAAAATGTAATTACATGTTCCAGTGCTTAACGTGAAAAATTATATCATTAATTATTCATTGAAAAAATTCACATTATCATATCAATTATATTTCTAACAATATATGTATATTTTTTTAACACAGCAAATTCGCAAAGTGAGAATACAAATTAAGAAGGCGAATGCAAAGAAGAACGTATAAAGGAAACATAATTTGTTTGAGAAATAAACAGAGTTCGTTGAAGTCAAACCGAGAACGCAAATAATAATAAAAAATAAGGAACAAACAAAATAACAATTATATTAAATAATTAAAAATGGAGGAAGTTGCAGTGGTCAAAAAGCGCGGGCGCCCGGCAAAGGGAACTTCGGGTGGTGCAGCTCCGGCAGCGGGCATTCCCGCCGACAGCAACATTCCAGTAATACCCAAAAAGCGCGGTCGTCCGCCGAAGGTCAAGGGTGGGCGTGGCAGGCCGCCAAAGCTGTCCGCTGCGGCAGCGAACAGTGATGACGAGGATCTGGATCAGGATGAGTTGGGCGATGCTAACGGCGAATTGCTACAGCCAATTAAGAGCAAGGGACGCGGTCGTCCGCGCAAGGTTCCGGTGCAGGCACAAGAAAACAGTGGTAACGATGATGAGGACATGGACTCGTCGGCTGATGAGAAGCCACCAGCGAAGCAACAAAAGTCGCCATCATCGGCCAAGCGCCGTAAGCTGGGACGACCCCGTAAGCATCAACCCAGCGAAGATGAAGATGGTAATTATGCAAATCACTGAATATATCTTCATTTATTTATACATACATATCTAACTCGTCTGCGTACAGAATTCGATGACGATGATGACGACGAGCGTCGTCCAGTTGGTCGTCCTGCAAGTAGCTCAATCAATTTGAATATTGTACGCACTGGACGAGGTCAAGGACGCCCCAGGAAGATTAAATCGGGTGCGGCTGGAGCGGCCTCATCACCAGCTGGCGAATCAAATGGCGATGATGCATCTACAGTGCCCCGAAAGCGTGGACGTCCATCGCTCGCCAATAAGCCAGCTCCGTATGTGCCATCAGGACGGCCACGTGGACGTCCAAAAGCAAACCAATCGCCAGTTAAGGCTGTAGATGATGACGATGACGACCAGCAGGCACAGAATGTATCGGATGATGATGAATCTGCGGAGCCAGAGGAGTCGACGGCGGCAGTGTCAACCACGCCAAAGAAGCGAGGACGACCCGCATTGGCGGGAAACAACAAAAGCGGATCGGGCGCCAAGCCACGTGGAAGACCCAAGAAATCACCAAACAATCAGCCTGATGGTGATGATGATGATCTAGATTCGGCTGGCGACGCCGGGGAGGGATCCAATGGCAAGGTGCCCAAGAAGCGTGGACGCAAGCCACAAGGAGCAGCAGACGACAGTGGCGATGCTGACGAGGACAATGAGGACAGCAGTGGCGGTGGTGTATTAAATGATAATGCCGGAGATGAGGATTCCGATGAGCCAAGGAAGCAGTCAAACCAGAGCGAATCGAAATCCAAACGCAAAGAAGTAAATTCATCAGAGAATGGCGATGGAGACAATGCGAATGATTCTGTTGAGTGTGTCTCCGACGAAGCATCATGGAATAATGCTTAATTTTAATAGTATTTAGGCAACAGCAACAGCATATTGTTTATTGGGACACGACAAATTAATGAAATAACTACTATAAAAGCAAATTCCATTCACACACCATACCCCTTGACTAGAGTGCATTAGCCAGTAATTCCGAACGACATGTCCCAATTGTCCGAAAAAAAACCGGAAAAAAGAAGAAAAAAGAAACCAGCGAGAACATACAATATGTTTTTATTTTATTTTAAATTCACCCCTCCATTTCCTTATATATAATTCTGAAAATATATTTCATCTTATTCCATTTTTACTATATTGGATTAATTTTGGCTTAAACTACATAATAGAAATACATTAAATATCATTGTAGCAACATGTGAAAACAAGTGCAGATCATTAATTTTATTAAAAATAAATAAATAGAATAAAATTGCGGATGGACTTGGAATTTGTAATTACGGGAATTTGTAATTGCCGCTATGACGATAGTCTTGACTACATCGAATAGGTTTTACATGAATAGTGGTGCCGTTAACAGAAAATGTTAGCCAAACTTATCGTAGTGTAGATGTCGATAATGCAATTTCTATCGACAACAAAATTTTAGTCATTGTAAATCGTTTGTAAGAACAGCGTGCTTGTAATACATACATATGTAAATTTTTCAAATAAGCTAAGGTGAATAATATTTAATCGTACGACAAGCGTAACTATATAATAATATATACGATATTTACATAACTAGAATACGCATTATTGACATTGTTCACGTGCAAATTGAGAATGTTCTGTCTGTGCGTGCGTGCGGCTTCGTAATTTGTTTTGCGTAAATTTGCGTCCAGTTGTGGTACAAAATGCTAAAAGATGAATTTAAATTAGCATGTTAATTGCAGGCGAATATTGACGTTCAAAACTTATTTTACTTCATTGTAACACAAGCAACGGCAGCAGTGATACACCGCAAATTTGATAAAAAAAAAGCCGCTAACGAAAACAAAACAAATACACAGGCAAACTGCGGCTGCAGCGCTTTGTGTGTGTGTGTGTGAGTGTGCTCTGGACTTGCGACTAATGAATTTGTAGCGGTCACTAAAATCAATCTAGATAAATAAATGTTTGTTTTATACAAACATGATTTATTGAAACTATAAAAATGGCCAAAGCATAACAAATATAATTATTTTACAAACAGGAGTGTTTAAATGCACGTGTGTGATGCTTGGTTTGCCTACAATTGTTAATAATGCACTGGCTGAGCAACTGTTCCTGATATGGAAAGCTATCTCATTCTTATTTCGCAAAATTTTGTGATAGTTTTTATTGATGAATTTAGATTTAATTGAATAATTACAAATTCGCCAACTTGTGGCAACTCTGCTCGAATGACCCCTTGCATGCGAGCAGCTGTTCCATCGGTGCTGTAGTTGTTTCACCTTGTTTCTGTTTATCGGAAAATGTTAGTGCCAGCTGCAGTAAATTGTTCTAACAAATTGACTTAGCGAGATCCAAAAGTAAGAAACATAATTATTTCGATCTTAATTTTTTGTAATCGCGGGAAAATGTAATAGTGGTAAGAAATCTTATTTTCCGGCTGTTATTTGCTTATTATTCTTTTAGCTGTTTGCCATTTGCAGCATTGCCCAACTTTGGTCACACTATTTTCCGGCACATGCTCTCTCTTAGCGCGCTCTCTCTTTCTGTTTCTATGAATTTGTTCTCTCTGAGCGCAATCTCCTGCTGGTTTTGTGTTTTCGACGCTGGCGCTGTGTCTTTGCATTCGCATTCGCTTTATTATCGTTCTCGCGACGACGACAACGTCGAAGAATTCTTAGCCGTATTCTTCTTCATCCTGTGTAAATAATTGTAATTTAAATATTTTAAATTAAATACAAAAACCACGCAAAACTAATAAAATAAGCAATCTGAGAGCATTTCGCGCGTGTTTACCAAGTCATTAAGTGTATGTGTAAGTGGCGAGAAATTATAGAAATATTCAATTCTATACATATTCAATTTTTAGTTTCGAGACACTTTTGCTTCCCTGCCTCTTTTTTTTTTACATTGTCATCGTCGTTTCCTTTTTGCTGCGACTGGCGGCGGCTGCAAAATTTTGTTATATATACAAACACATGTGTATAAATTGTGTGAGTGTGTGTATGTATTGTATATGTGCCTTATATACAAATCCAGACGAGCAGCGGTTGCACTAACACACGCATAATTAGACGCACAGAGAAGATTTGCATATATGTATATATATATATATAGTGGTATATATATATATATACATGTATGTATGTATATAACATGTATAAATAGTCGCAAAATTGTAAGATTTTAAGTAAATGCTAATCGCGTGCGTCGCTTCATAAAATAAAAGGTAAAAATCAATTGAATGATATTCATGTTCCTTTTTATGCGTGTGCTTCACTTTGGTTTTGCACTAATTTTTGGAAGGTGGCTGCAAAACGAAAGAATAATTTTTCCGATTGGCTCTCCGAATATTTAGAGTATATTCTTATTTTTGTGCGTGTGTGCGTTTGTCGTCTTCTGTCCATTCGTCCATTATCCGCCTGTGCCTTGTTTCTTATTCTTCCTTGACAGCGGCGGCCATTTGCTTCTTCTTTACATTTGCACGGCACGGCGTTTAAAATATTTGTTTTTTTCGCTCACACTCTTGTACTCTTGAATGCGCTCTCGCTCTCTTGCCGTGTGCCTTGCATTTGTATACAAGAATTTTCCCAATAAGAGCGGCAGTATTGTTACCGATGTTTAAAATAAAAAACCAATTAACTTACGAAAATTGGGCTAAATATTTACTTTAATTAACTAAATTATGTATTTTGTATGTTTGGTTATATACATAATATTTATACACTAATGCGCTTGCCACACCCCCCTTTTGGTTGCTGTGCGCATCACTCGCTCGCTTTATAGCTCCTTTTTATGCTGTTTGTTCTCGTACTTTTGTTTTTCACATGTCTCTTTTTGGCGTTTATCTTTATGTTTGTTTTTGTATCGGCAACGTGCGTTTGGTTGTGTGTGTTTGTGTGTGCGTGACTGAGTGAGTGAGGCCCCCGCTAGGCGCTGTGGTTTCGCATGCTGCACTTGTCTTTTGCCCGTGCTCTGGGCGCTCTCTTTGGGTGTCAGTGGGAGTGGACGGGGATAGGGTGTGGGCAAACTGTCGCTGGCTCGCGCGCATATAAACAACAGAGAAACAGCCGATGGACGATTGCTTACATATTTTGTAACTTAACCTCAAAACGTTGCGGCTGCTGCCGGCCGCCGTTCACTTCGTTTTCTTGTTCTTGTTACTGTTGTTGGTGTGTGTATATGTTAATTTATATGTTTTTTCTTTCGTTTAGTCGCCTCCCCTCCTTTCGACTACTGTCGTTTTCTTTGCGTATTTTTCGCGCATGATTCAGCGTCGTTGCCATCGCGTTGTTCTTGCAATTGCTTCTGATGATATTCGGTTTTTTGCCTTAAGTTACTCCTGTTTCTGCTTCTTCTGTTTCTTCTTCTTCTTCGTGTACGTTTTCTGCTTTGTTATTGTTTTTTAAATAAAGCAGAGGCGCATTTATTTAGCTTTTTTATAATGTTAAAGCTTTTGTTCAACATATTCTTGATCTGGTTATCTGACAGTTGCGTTATCTTTGTTCTATACCATGACCAGCTCAAAGTAGACACAGTGGTAATAATTTTAATAATTGTAAATTAAAAGAGTGTATGTACCTTATATAAAATAAAAATAATTGTTGTATATTCTTTCTCTTTGCAGTTTGTGTATATTTTCATCATTAAAACGTGTAAATTAAAATCATCCTAATTATAATTCAAATTAATAATAACTGAAAACATCAAATCCTTAAATCTCAATAAATTTCAATTGATCTGTAAAAAATATTTATAGCAAGTTTTAATTGTTTAACCCCACTTCTCATATAAAATGCATTGAAAATAGTTTATTTGGTTGGTTTCACTGTGTAAAGTATTATTCATAGTTTGTGTTAAATAGTGTAAATTTTTGTAAAAAAAAAAAAGAAAATCAAACCATACCAAACGTGCAAGTTTTTTTTCGAGTGTATGCAAATATCAATCGACAAATGTAATTAATTCTATTAAATGACTGTATATTAATATTTAATATTAAGAAAGATTAAAGTGTGGTTTCTTAGTAAAAAACAAATAATTCTAAAATAAAATACAACAAAACGACAAGAATCGCAAAATCAAAACGACATAAACGAAAAGCAAACAAGAAGTGTAAAAACGGTAAAAGCCTCGTCCCACTGTGCACGCGACGTATCCGCAATTTTTTAAATTGTAACCATAACGTAACGTCGTCCAGTTACTTTTAAACTGTTGTTCTCGTTCCGTCAAATTTGTTGTACGTCTTTTTTTGGTTATTTTGTTTTCTGATTTTATTCGGCTGTTTTTGTGTGGTTTTTGCAATACGCGCCAAATCGTGAGCTGAGCGTGCAGCAAACAGCCGTCAAAATTGAGCTGTTAAGCGCACCCACAATCTCGATATCGACGGTAGCGCCAGCCACGTCGCCATCGCCGCAGCATCATCTACAAACACAGCCGCAGCAACAGCAGCAGCAGGCGCCGTATCATCATCTCCAACAGCAGCAGCAGCAGCAGCAGCAACATTACGGCCCACTGCCGCCGCCTTCACCATACTTTCAGCATTTGCAACAACAACAACAACAACAGCAGCAGCAGCAACAACAACAACAGTTGCAACACATGAAGTTTCTGGGCGGTAATGATGATCGCAACGGACGCGGCGGGGTCGGCGTCGGCGTCGGTAGCGAGACACGCGGTTCCAATGCGCAGGATGTGGACGCAGCGAGCGCTGCTGCAGCCGCCGCTGCCGTTGGCTTTGTTTTCCAGCAGCGCCCATCACCAGGCGGCGGCATCGGCGCTGGCGTCGGCGTCGGACCCGTTGGCTCCACCTTGCACGACGCCGCGGCTGCTGAATATGCGGTCCACTTTGCCCAAAAACAACAGCAATCGCGTTGGGCATGCGGCGACGAGCACGGCATCGATGTGAGTACATTAGCAGAAATAAAAATATAAAATACATAAATGATATGCGTTTATATATTTATAATATAAAACTGTTTAGTAGATTTGGCTATGCGCCAGCAGCACTTTAAGCCAAAAGCAAGGATAAAGAATTTTCTCCAGGAGCGAGGTTTGAGCTAGAGAGAGAGAGAGAGGGAGAGGGAGAGGGAGCGAGTAGTTGGGCTGCATTAGTTTTTGAACTGTTATTGAATTTTCTTCATTACATAAATGCGCAAAGATGTACCAGTGTTGCATATCGATATCAGTTAAAAGCGCTCAGCAAAAAATAAATAAAATAAATAAATAAAATATTACAAATAAATAAAATAAAAAAAAAAAAAAAAAAAAAAAAAAAAAAAAAAAAAAAAAAAAAAAAAAAAAAATACCATGAAAAAAAAAAAAAAAAAACAAATAAATAAATAATTAATAGCAATTAAAAATAAAAATGATATATAAATACTAAAATAAAAGTAAATTAAATTTAAATTCACAGTATTTATTTTAATTTAAGTTAATTATTATTATTATTATTATTTTTTTTTTAATTTAAGTAATAAAAAAAGACATCTAATTAATCTCTATAAATTTCCATTTGTATTGATTTCGACATTAATTAAAAATCCAAAGTCAATTTGTTATTTCAAAACCAAAATTTATGCTGAACCTTGCTTAAAATACTAAAATTTTGATTTCTTCAGTATTTTTGTTTAATGTAGTTTTGTTGATTCTTACCCTGACTTTATTTTATGGACAATCTCCACTGCCTGGAAATTCTTATGAAAAGCAATTGGTTCTCCTTTTTATACGCTGCTTTGCCTTTGATACCCTGTGGCATAATATGTTACAGGGTTGTACAGCTTTAGTAAACATAATATGTAAAATTTATAGTAAGGTATATTCTAGATAATTGTCAATTGATTATACTAAAGATAACAACAATTAGTAAAGAGAAATTAGTTTAATTTCTATTGTACTAGGTCTGGGGTTTTTTTTATTATTATTTGTCCGCTTAAGGGGTATCTTGTTGACGCTTTTGCGTATGTTTATGGTTGGCATAGTCCGTTGCATTAACAGCAGGAACAGCAGGGGAAAGGACTTCGTCGGTGGGAAGCTGTAGGAGTAGCTGCCAAAGTTTGCACAAATAATGCGAAAGATTGACAAAGATTTTGCTTAGTTTTGTATGCATGTATTTTTTTTTCTTTCAAGGAAGACTTGGATTTTCATAGAGTTTTTCCATTTTCTTTTGTGTGTGTTGCAGAATCCCGATAAATGGAAATACAATCCACCCATGAATCCAGCGAATGCTGCACCTGGCGCACCGCCGGGCAACGGTGGCAGCAATGGCGGACCCGGTGCCATTGGTACCATTGGCATGGGCAGCGGCTTAGGCGGCGGTGGCATGGGCGGCAATGGCAGCGGCATCAATGGTGGTCTACATCATCCATCGATGGCAGCTGCAGCAGCCAATATGGCTGCCATGCAACAGGCCGCCGTGGCCAAGCATAATCACATGATGTCGCAAGCGGCCGCCGCAGTTGCAGCACAGCAGCAGCAGCAACAACAGCAACAACAGCAGCAGCAACATCCACAGCAGCAGCAACAGCAGGGTAATCAGGGTCAACCGCATCATATGATGGGCAGCGGCAATGGACTGGGCAATGGCAATGGACTCGGCGGCTTGGGTCAGCCGCATCCCGGGCAGCAGCAACAGCAACAGGGCCAAAATCCCGGCCAGACACATCCCGGCCAGCATCAGTACAACTCGAATCTGCTCAGCCATGTGATGAACAATCAGGTGGCCGCAGCCGTTGCCGCTGGCGCTGCCATGGGCCCGATGACACCGTATGCCCAATCTGGTGCCACCGGCAATATGTACGATCATCATGGAGGCGCACTGCATCCGGGCATGAATGGCGGTATACCGAAACCTCCACCGCAGCTGGGACCGCCGGGCGGACCACAGGACTTCGTCTATATGGGTGGGCAACAGCATGCCGCTGCTGCCGCCGCCGCTGCTATGGGCGCTGCTCTGATGCCGCCACAGAATCAATATATGAACAACTCGGCCGCAGCTGCTGCCGCCGCCAATCGGAACGCAGCGGTGAGTAGAGACTACTACTATGCACATATACAGACACGACAAATATACATATACTAGGTTTAGCACTTTAGATAAGTTCCATTTTGGGCTAATCAATTAATTGATTTGTGTTTGCGATTTTTGTTTTAGTTAATATCATCCATCCAACGACCAAGTTGATTGATGATGATTAAATGGACAAGTTTTAGGGCTATATACCAATGATAGTTGGATTACAAATGTGTTTAAATATTAACCACATTGGGCTTTAGTATACACAAAGCTAAAAATTAGGAAATGTGTTTGTTATTGTGTGGATATATTTAAAGGATTTCCAGCATCTGTATGCCCTAGTAATATTTGCTTGAAATGAAAAGTCTTATCGCAGCATTAATTAAATGTAGGTTCTACATTTTTACGTTTCTGTATACCAAAGCTTTTCGAAAAGTTTTCTCTCATGCGCTTTGGGGCTACTAGAAATGACAAAGGTTTCCACAATTTCGTTTTTATGATGGTTTCATTTTTTTCCCCATTGATCGAATGGCTCGTGTCGTAAAAATTGCCGCCTGAGTCTTTGGTTAATCAATAATTTGGCTTTTATGGCCAGTTGTACATATACCACCCTGTCCGAATCAAGAGAAAAAGCCCCTAACCTAACAAACAAAAATATTTGCTGTAAATTGCAAAGTTTTATGTTTGCTTTTTTTCCCGAATCCGAATTTGTTGTTGCTCTGCAGAGGCCCTTTCAAGTTTTTCCTTATAGACACACATATCATAAAATTGTTGATTGTTATTGTTGGCTTTTCTATTTTCATTATATTTTCCATTTTCCGCCCATACGTATAAATTGATGTGTGAAATCATATTTTCCCATTTTCCCTCTCGCTTTTCGCTATGTGCGTAGCCAATGAAATGATTTTCACATATCCGAATTGATTGTCTTTTGGTCTAGACACTGGATTGGGAGGGGAATTTTGTTAGTTTACGCATTTGGGGTAGTTGAGAGATTATATCACACGTGTTAATTAAGTGTGCCAGGGCTCTCATTAGCTTTTCTTATTGGCTTTGACATAAAAAGCTGTTAGAATAATACTTTTCACTACCAGGCAATAGGCTTGCCATAAAAAAGTTTTCTTTTAGATAAGGACAAGTTTAGTTTTATGATTTTGGCGCAGCCGACTTCATTACATAATCAAGGACAGTTAACATAATGAATAAAAGTTAACATAATTGGGACTTTCAAGTCGAAGTGGAACAACGATAAGTTGATTATCGATTATTATAAATATGATGTCCTATTTTATATAAAATAATAAGACAACATTGTCGGTACAATATTTCTTGAAACTATTCACTTTTAATGAATCTAATGCTAAAGCTTAAATAGAAGTTATATATAGAAACTTTATTTCTCTTTTTATTACGCTTTAATAAGCTGCCAAGTTAAATTAGCGAAGATATTTTTTTTACTCTTTGCTCTGCCTAGTCTTCGTCTTCTTCTTTTTGGCCAGCTGTTGGTTGGTTTATTTTATTTCTTTTTTAGAATTGAGACACGTTTTAGCGCTTTGTCTCTTTGCTTTGCTTATGGTTTCTCGATTGCCTCGTATCGCTACGCCCCTCCCTCAGCTCCCCATCGGTTAGTTTAGTTCTGTGTTCTCTGCTCCGCTAACAAATGCATTCCGGTTGCAATTTTCTGCCTTATAAGCGTTGAGCACACAAACGCGCATCCACATACTACAACAAGTCGGTTCTGTGGAGGCATTTGTTCGCAGTACTCGGAAACCACTCGCATTTATAAATAAAAGAATTTAATACTCGACTTGAACTTAATGAGCTCTCAGCTAGCTCTACATGTAGTTTTTCCACCTCGAGTTCTACCTTTGCCTCTTACATATTCCTATTTCTTTATTTATTTTTTCTTTCCAACCCGCCTCATTGTGGTTGTTATGTCACAAATGTGTAAGGGAAAAGCAATTTTAATTAAAGAATTTCACTCGCTGTGGTTTCTGCTTTACATTTACGCTCAAAGTCTGGCAGACGATCAGGCAACAGTTTATCGGGATAACAGATAGATAAAGATAGAGAAGAAGAGATAGTCAGTACAATTAGTTTTTATAGCGATTGCCTTTAACTTATTAAAAATATTTTCCATTTATTCCTTTTGTCGGTAATTTTTATACATATGTAGGTATTTGCGTTTTTTGAGAGTATTTACTCGTCGCATTCCGTTTCTCGCGTAATTCTCACTTTCGCAACTCGCGTCCCTTTTGCTTGTTATTGTTGCCTGAGCGTTACCTTTTTTTTTATTTCTCAACAACTTCCTTTTGCGCTTATTTCGCAATCTCTTTGGCTGGCAGCAGCTCACAATACGAAACAGAAAACGAATTTATTGCAATTATGCCAGGACAGCAGCCGCAGCCACAGCCACAGCCACAGCCACAGGAGCGAAGCGAAACACAGACAAATTTTGTAACTGTATTCGTTTGTGTGTGTGAGCTTTTGTTTTGTTGCTGTCGCTGTTACTCCACTTTTTTAGCTCGTTCGCCTTTTAGGCGTGTGTGTGTGTTTGTGTGTGTCAGAGACAGGCCCCAGTCAGCAGCAGCAGAGCGAACATTTGCCATCTTTTCAACACTATGCTACGTTTTTGCTCTCATTCTCTCTCTCTCTCTCTCTCTCTGTTTGGTGTTGCCTCTGCGTTTACTCTCATTGTTGTTGATGTCGTAGGTCATTGATTTGCGCTTAACAGCGCGGAGCTGCCGGCAGAAGCCTCATCTATGGGCGCAGCGTCTCTCCAGTGCTCGTGTGCAGCCCTTTGTTTCTGTTTCGTTGTTTTTTTTTTTTTTTCGTACAGGTTCTCTGTTGTTGTTGTATCGTTGCATGTGGCGCATTCGGCGTTCTGCTTTTTGTGGTTCTCTTCTATATGTGTTCTTATTACTTTTTCTTGCATGCTGTCTGCCGCCTCGCTGCTTCTGTTGTTGCTGTAATTGTCGTTTTCTTTTTACACGCCATGCTTTGTACTTGTTTCTTTTTCATTTTTTGCGTGTGCTGTAATGATTTAAATGTGTGTCTGTGTGGTGTCTGATTTTGAGCGCAGCTTTTATTGTTGTTGTCATTGTCTCTCTCTCGATGCTTCTGTTGTGGCCAGCCCGCTGCGCCCTGACTCGGTGCAATGGACAATGGGCGGTTGCAGATTTGGGGCGTCCTTAGAAGCTTTTCAATTCACCACGAACACTTTGTAAATCCGTGAGTGTGTGTGTGTGTGTGCGCGCTGCGGTTAAGAGATGCGTGTGTATGTAAATGTTAACTCTGATTGTAATGATAATGTTAACCTAGATAACATATGAATAGAGCTAGAATTGAATTTACTGTGGCTTCTGGATTTACAATTTACCTAATTAAACTGGATACCCAATTACAGTTGCACTTGTTATATCAAAACGTGCCGCATGTAGGCCTCATCCATTCCCAGTTGCTTGGATGTTTCGTTTAATAATTATCATCATTAGACTTAACTTTGTAGTGATAAAGTGGACTTGAGTAAAACAATTAGCTGTTGTTCTAGTTGCTCTGTTTCTTCTGCATCCTCTTCGTTATGTTTGTTGCACTCTCGCAATTTCACACACTCTGAGCGCGAACTGAAGAAGTCTTTGGTGTGTTTGCTCTCCTCACCTTCTGCTCTTCCTGTTGCGCTTCCCTTCGTGCGTTTGGGTTTCGTTTCTAATTGAACAAAAGCTGCAGTCGCAGTTGCCGCTGGCAACGCGTTTGTTGCCGTTTCTTTGGACTGCCGCGCGGTTGCCAATTAGCGAAAATGTTTGCCTGTTTGCCTGCAATTTTCCAACAACACAGCTCGGGAGAACCGAATAATAGCTAACGATGTTCAAGTGAAATTATTTATCGACTACGAGATACCCTGTATTTGATAGAAATTTAAATTAAGCTGTACAAAGCTACCTTAAAATTTCCGTTGATTTGTAGATTTTATACATCAAAGCTTTGACATAGCTATAAAAAAATTATTTTTAAATTTTTCAAATGTATAGTGTGTTTCTTAGTTAAATCCAGCGCCGCTTAGTTCAACTGCGGTTATATGGGCTGCTAAATACTTCCACAGCCAACATGGCAGGCGCAGAGGGGTCAATAAGTTTCTTTAGTGCTCTAAGTACCTTTTCTGGAAAACTTGTCAGTAAATTGTTTACCATGAATCCTGGTAGAAATCTGATATGCTCACCACTCTCAATACACTCCTGCCTGGGTATGATTCGATTGGGCGCCGATGAGGGCACTACGACGGCCAAGGAGCTAGATAAGGGCATCGGGTTTACTTCGAACGATGAGTCGGAAATAGCCGAGGATTTTCATATCGCATTGGAACCCTATCAGGATGACACCATGCTCAATATGGCCTACAAGATGTATGTTATGCATGAATTCGAAATACGGCCGGAATTTCATGAGATTTTAACTGAGAAGTTCCACTCGGAACCTGAAAATGTAGATTTCTCTGAGAACACAGTTGCTGCAGAAAAGATTAACGAGTGGATAGAGACCAAGATGAATCATCTTATTAAAGATCAGGTCAGCCCAGATATACTTAATGAAACCACAGGACTCGTTCTTATAAGTGCTGCTCACTTTAAAGCCGAGTGGAGCATCGGATTTTCTGTGCGGGCCACTCGCCGAGAGTTTTTTAATATCGACCCAAAGAACAAAATCAGAGTGCTGATGATGAATAATTTCCATGAATATGACTATGCGGACCTAAAACAATTCGATGCAAAAGCTTTGCGTCTAAACTTCAGTAATACCCCTCTGCAAATGATTATCATCCTGCCAAATAATGCCTTTGGGCTAGAGACTCTAATAGAAGCATTGTCCACAACATCGCTGGAGAGTATTATTTCATTGCTAACTCGAAAGCGAGTCTACTTAAAGTTGCCCAAGTTCACGGCTGAATTCGAACAGGACTTGACACCTGTTTTCCCAGAGCTTGGCGTGAAGAGGATCTTTATGAATAAAGCCGAATTGGGTAAAATTTCTGAAACGAATCGAGTAATAAAAGTCTCCAGTGTTTTACACAAGGCATCCATTGAATTAAGCGAAGAAGGCGACGAGGTATTGCCCCTGCCGGAACTGAAACCAACCATGGTTAAGGGCAAAATTCGTAAACCCCCGTCGCCCGTCAACTTTTACGCGGATCATCCATTTTATTATGCCATCTATGATGCGGTCCATGGACCCCTGGTCGTGGGTAGCCTCCAAGCCCCACTCCCTGCTCCTTGCATTAATAATCCGCTGAAACCATGCTATTGCGAGAGATCTTAGAAACAAAGAATTATTATATAATACATGAAAGGGAATATTTTTATTTATATATGAAGTATCAAATTATACAATGCATTAATAAAATTACAGGGTATATAAAACGTTTACCTAATGACATTCCTGCAGATTGTGGCGATAGTTAATGCATTGTAAATTTGTCGATGGGTTTATCGATCGAAGGAAAGGCGCTGCAGGCAGAGCATATGATTGACATACAAACATTCGCATCATCTGATAAGCTTTTGTTTTACCTTTATTGTGATGCGATGCATACATTTTGAGCACAGCTGCTCTCTCTCTTTCTCTTTCTGTCTCTCTCATCCTCTCTCTCTATAACTATGCTCAATTATCTGCATTAATTAAATAATCATTTTAAATGCATCCTCAAATAGCTCAACAAATTAATTTGATATTAGCTTTGCCGCCCGCTGACTCAGTCAAGTGATTTTAATTGCCGCTACTCTACTCTAACAGGCGTGTTGATTATCAGCTAAGTCACTCACTTTGCCCCCTGTTGATCAGCACGCAAGTTTTATATGTACATTATTCTGCTGCTAAATACTCTTTTCTGTTATTTTTCCCACAGCTGGCCTCACTTTCATCTACTGCTATTATTTCGTTTTTACTGTAGATACAGCTAACAGCTGCTTAAGTCAGTCAACGAGCTGCTGTCATGATCAGAGCAGAGCTCACATGCAAATAAGCACAAGCGGTGTGAGAGGAGCGCTCGCTCTACCCACACAACGAAAGCGTCAGTTAAGCCACGCTCAAAATATAGTTCTCTTTTCACTCAAATTACGTAAAACTATGCCAAATGAGGCTTAACGTACGCACACACACACACACACACACGCATAACAAATGTCACATACAAAGAAATACAAACAGAATACAAAAACTGTTGCTCACGTGTATTGAGCAGAGAGGGGGCCGGCTTGAATCTTTGGGGGTACGCTCTCATTAGCGGCACCGTCGACATTGCCTGCTGGATAGCATAAATTTCCGCTGAATATGTATGCGTATGCGAATGTGAATGCGCGTGTGTGCATGTGTGTGTGTGTTTGTGTTTAATGTATTATCGTTGCGAGTCGCAACTCGCGAGCAACAGCTGCTATGCCGCTGTTGCTCTCTCGCGCTCACACTCTTCGCTTCATACGCTCTTTTGCTGCTCGCAATTTGCCAGGTTTTGCTTATGCCGCCTGAGTGGCAGGCCACAGCGTAGAATTTTCAGTTTGGCCGCAACAGTTGACTCGTCTGCATGCTGTATAATTTTCGCTAGGCCCCCATCCGTCCGTGTTTGTGTGTGTGTGCGTGGAGTTCTCGTGTGCGATCATTAAGCACGTTTTTTGTTGGCTTGTGCGAGTGTGCCTGTATTTATGTATACATAAATATGCTTACACACCGGTAGCCAGGCTAGAAGAGAGTGCAAACAAACAATAACTCAGGTTTTTTTGGCGTGAAAAAAAAAAAATCAACGCAAATGCTGTAAATGTTTCCAACGTGTTGTATATTCGGTATAAATACGTGTGTATAAATGTATATGGATATATGTTTTAGTGTTATGTGTGAAAAGCGCAGCTGATGCTCGTTTATAATTAAAGCTGTTCAAAGTGAAAAATCAAAATCAATATCGAAATTCTTGTATAAATCATAAATAATAACTCATATAAATTTAGCACCAACGACAAGAAAATAAGCCTGTGTAACTTGTTTTGTGTGTGTGTTGTGTGTGCTGTGTAATCCACTACCGTGGCGAGTTCTTTCTCTCGCTCTCTCTCTGTCTGTTGCGCATTGTACTTCCTTCACGCACTGGAATAATAAGAAACTCTCGCTCTCTGGATCGTTCGTCGTGTTTCGTTACTTCCAGCCTGCCTACTCATGATGAAACTACTGAACGATTTTATGTTGGATGCGCGCACTGCCGAGGATATTGCACTCACACAGGAAATGGTAAAGCAACTAAACTTTACAGCCTGTGCTGCTCTAAAGCTTAATAGAGAGGAAGAGGGATAGAGCTAGCGCACGCTCCTGCTCTTGCCTTTTTGTGATGTGTTTATTTTCTGACTCCTTTGATTGATTGGAAGAGCGAGATGAGCGCCAGTGCATTCGCTGATTCTGTGGCTTGAGGCATTTGAGTTCTTTTAGTTTTTTGCATGCATTACACGCGCTTGATAATCTGGCAGCTGTTAGAGCTTTTTTTTTGGTTTTGTTGTTTCTATTTTTACTCTTTTTTTTTTTTTTTTTCAACAATGTATCTGTCTAATTACATGCTATTCGCTAATTGCTTCTGTTTGTTTGCGCCTCAATCTGTGTGCAGCAGCGAGTGCGTTGCTTTGTTTATCTTTTTACAATGAACAATTTGTAATGTATTTGCATATTAATAGCTGTGAACCAGCGCCATTTAATTGCTTTAATCTTTAATTATTGTTTATTTATCAATTTGTTATGGTTTTAGTTTTTATTAGCTCACGTTGTTGTTTTTTTGGGATGAATCGCAGAATGTTTGAATGAAAGTATACTTTTCATTTTTCTGTATCTTATTTTTGAGTATGATTAATGATAATCAACATAGCTAAAGAGTTGAAATTAAAATAATATTAGAGAGAACATTTATCTACTCGAGCAGTAATGTATCATCTACCTATATATCTATATAGATACAAATGATTTTTATTTCTCAACTCGTTAAATAGTTCTCTTTGGCCAAGCGAACTCATGGATTTTATATTTGCTTAAGAGCTTTATTGCTGTAGAGATATGTACAGATATTTACCCTATTTTATAAAACATTTATTTATTTGCGAAATAAAAAAGCTTTGCAACATTCTCGTTAATTGTCGGAATATTGCTTCTGTTTAGTTCACCGAATACTTTCGCCGCAATTAGATAATGGGAGATCTCACTCACAAACAAATGCGACCCCAAATAGAGCAGCCCGACCACGAGCTGGGGCATCAGTCGCGGTTGTCCGTTCTTTAACCGCCTGTCTGTCTGGCCTGTGTTTCATAGATAAAATTATTGTGTGGTTCTTGCTATGCTCCAGCAATTGTTTTTGTATGCATTTCACGTCGTTTAGCCCTAACTCAAAAAAAATATATATATATGTGTATGTACATGTGTGTTTATTATATATAAGTCCGATGGGGGCATCATAGAATTCACTGAAGCCAAAGGGAAAGAGTCAGGGGTTGCGTATTCTATACAATTCCATGTATGCTGTTTGCCCCTTTTGGCTTTGGTACCGGTTTCGCTTTTTGTTTTTGAAGGAATTTACATGAAAATGTATATTTTCCGGTTTCAATTATATGCAATCTGTATCTCTGTGAATGTGTGTGTGTGTCTATGTCTATTGGGGTCTCCCTTGCTTTTTGTCTAGTCTATTTCACGGTTGATTACGCTGTTGTCATCGTTTTGCCCGCTGCCCGATTAGCTGAATGCCTCACAAAAATGGGCGTGGCCAATAGCGATGCTGATGACAACAACTATAAATGCTAAAAACAATTCAATCATTTCAATTTTTATGGCAATCCAAATTGTTTGCTTGCCGTTCATTAACTAATTGCTCAATTTGAATAACTATAAAAAGTATTTGTATTTTGTATTTGTATTTTTTCTTTTTTCAAGTATAATTTGAAGCGCCTTAAATGGCCATTTATTTGATATAAATAATGATTTAATGATGATTTAAATATAAGCTTGTTATCTATCTAAAAAACTATTCCTAAAGGAAATCATTTTATTATCTAGTTGAATATGTAAACAACCTTTTACATCGTTTGCAGTTATTTAATTTATCAAATGGAATGTGTAAAGATTCTGAGGACATGTGCTATAACTAATGCTCGTTACACTACACTCAACTTGTTAGTAACATTACTCTTTGCCCCTTATGTAATCGTATTATGCAGTCAGTCCAATTATTCAATTAACTTGTGTAGGTGAACGACAAGAATACGAGGAGATATCTTAACGAGTTGATATGATGTCCAGGACGAAAGGAGATGCCAGAAGCAGGTCGGAATAAATACAGCAGACGGACGACAGCTGACTACAGTTTTTATTGCAAAGGCGATGGGTGGAACTGTCAGTGGGCTTGTGGGCGGGCGTGTGAGGGAGGGGCGTGTGCCACAAATCCAATAAACACGCCAACAAAATTGCAAATGTTGCAAGTAAACAATGCAGGAGGAGACGTAAGAGGGTGTGTCTTATGCTGGAACGCATACCATTCTCGCTCTCCCTCTCGCTCACATCTTGCACGTCCCGTCTCTTTCTCGTTCCATTTGGCTAGCTCTGTTACGTGTCTCAGTTGGCATTAGAACTTTTGTTTTTCGCAATGCAGTCGAAGGAAGCAGCTTTACGATTTTGACTGTCGCCTCGTTCATCACTGAAACTTTGTCGAATGTTTTATAGGAATTGCGGGGAAATTCATATTGAAAAGTAATGTCAATTTGATTGGCTACGAATCGAACTAGTTCGAATGAACACATACGTGACATTTTTGAAGTGATGAGCATTTGTTTACGCTAACTGCCAAGCCTAAGCAAAATGAAGTTTACTGGAACTAGTTCATTTAATAAGCTAAATTTGTAGAGTTCTTTAAGCAAAGTAATTTTTGACGTTAAAATACGTATAGAATGCGAGCTATTGGCCAAATATATCTATTTATTCCAGACAAACTCTTCTGGCTGCATTGCCAAATATATTTTCACCAAAAGCCGTGCATGCAAAGTTGAATAACGTTGCTCCCAAACAGTTCTGAATGGGGCTGGGGCCAACCTAAATAAATATGCACAGCGACATCGATTGAAAAGCGCAATAAACGCATTTATCAGCGCTTACTTTTTGTTGCCTTTCTGGCCAAAAACACAAACAAACCCACACACACACACACACAGACACACATGGGATGAATATCGATTGAGAACCCCTCCCAATAGCAGCTACAGTGATTATTCATTAAAACGAACTGTGGATTTGATGATTTGTAATTGATATACTGAAGTCATATAATAAACAAATATTTAAA